TGTCTTTTGTCACGTATATCCGGCGTTCCCGCAGGTCTGTTTTACTGTGAAATCACTACCGTATATTATTATTCACTTTAAAAAGAAAACAAAACCAAAAAAAGGGTAAAAAAGAAAAAAACAAGAGAAGAATTGCTGCTGGAAACGCCAGAACAATTGTATTAGAGTTGTGGGGGAAAAAAAATGAGGAAAAAAAAAAAAAAAAGAAAAATGAAAACGGAGAAAAAAAAAAAAGAGAGAAAATATATGAGCATTTTAAAATATAACCCGGTCCAAGACCTCTTTTGTTCTTCACTGGTGTGTGCTGAGTTATTCATTCAGGTGGGGGGGTTGTCCCCAATGGTTGTCCCTTCTCACTGCCAGTCCAGTGAATCCAGCCTGGAGTGAGTTCACCCAGGGCAGAACCACAGGGAGAACCCCCAGCCTCAGCCAAAGAGACTTCTTTCCTTTTCCTCAGGTGTTTTCCACGAGTGATTTTCCTGTCCCTTTGACATCTCCAGCTGATCCTGCTGGGGACCTGATCGCCCCCTGCAACGTCCCCATTCTCCTCCCTTTCCAGTGGGACAAGTGGCCACTGTGGCCACTGTGATGCCCAAGGCCGGGCCCCCGGAGGGATGTGCCAGCCTGTCCCTGCCTGGATGGATGGCACTGAGGTGACCAAGGCCACCCTGGGCACATCAGGGTGATCCTTGTGCCGTGGCAGCACGGGAGGTGCTCAGCTCTGGGCAGACCCCGGGGCGTGGAGATTGGGCAGCACCTCCAGCCTGGTGATGATGAGCGCAGTGTGTGTGGACGAGTGTTTTCCAGCCCCCATCCCTGCCGGAGTTACCCCACGGAGCAGGAACAGTGGGTGGGAGAGCAGGAGCCGTTAGCGCTGGCCTTCCCTTAACCTGGATTTGTTGCCAGGTGCAAACAAGATTGAACTTGCTCTTGGGTTTACAGCGCAGATAAATCCTCCCCCGACGGCTGCAGAGCCGGTCAGATGGAGACGGCAAATCAGAGTCTCAATTTGGTTAGTGACGATCCCTGCGTTTGCAGCTTGGCCGCGATATTTTTTCATTTGGGAAGCGCTGGGAGGCGGCTTTTGGAGGGCAGGGGAAGGGGCACGGCAGGTTATCCGCCTTGGCAGCGATCCGCTGCTCCCCAGAGCCGCCCGTTCCCACTCCCTGCCCCATATTTTGGAAGCCCCCAGGGACGCGGGAGAGCCCGCCCGGCCACGCTCCCATCTGCCGGCTCCCGCTGCAGAGGGTGCTTATGTGTCCCGTTAACCTCCGGGCAGCGGTTTGTGTTTGGAGAGTAAATATTTACCTCCCTTCCTGAGGGTTTTTGTCCCCCCCCATCCCCCGGGTGGAGCGCGCTGGGGTCTAGGGGGCAGCGCTCGCCGGGATGCGCCGCGGGCTGCCCGGGGTCACTGCTGCCCGCGGCGCTCCAAAACCACGCTTTGCTTTGAAAATCGGGTTTGCTTCTATATTTAACGATGCTAATAACAGAAAGAAAAGCAAAGCCAAGCTGGCCACTGTGGTATTTTATTTTATTTTATTTTTTAATTATTATTTTTTCTTGTCTTCGGTT